CCCCCCCCCCCCCCCCCCCCTTTAAGAAGAGCTACTTATAGCCCTTGTTCTAAAACTAGGGCGAGTTGCCGAGTACGCAGCCGCTTTTGCGTAACCTGGAGGCATACCGTGGCGAATTGAATCTGATCAGAAGCAGAATGCGGGCAGGCGAGTTAAGTCCGAGTTAACCGATTAGTCTAAAAAGCCGGCAAGTTATTAGAGAAATCACGTTGTTTGAGTTACAGAAAACATGTGTATTTGGTTCTAAAATCATATGCTAGATTGAAGATACGTTAATATTGGGGGAAATCTAACAGAAAACACATCAAAATAACCCATAATCGCGAAAAAAATCTGAAAGTAATGTAAATATTCCCAGATCTACAGACTGAAGAAGAAGATGGGGATAGTTTGGTCTTTTGACACTTATTAATGAAAAAATGACAAAAACTAACGAAAAGGCTGGCATTGAAAGTCGAACATGGGGCTTGTAATAAGAACAAGTGCACACAACCCACTAGACCATGCTGTATCTCTATGTTTTGTATACTATGTAATATCTATACTACTTGATAACCAAAGCTAAAACATGAATGCAAAACATCAATATAATTAACATTAGACGTAATAAAATTTGTTACATAAACATGTATTATCTTGTATTGTATGTGTAAAAAAGAGTACTGTACATATTAAAATACATAAAATTACTCCCCAAGTATTCTCTAATTTTTTTCTATTTTTCCAATAAATCGTTAGGCATGTGTGCACTGCACGCACGCCTAGCGAGTTTCCGAACAAGGCTTATAGCCAACATATTAGGAAAAAAACAAAACATCAACATTGACATCTGGCTGATTATGCAACATGACATTTGTTGAGGAAGGGACTAGTGTCTACTACGTGGATGGATGATTATTCATAACACACATATCTTTATTTTGAAAATTTATGAACATCATCAACTTACGATTATCATAGGCTTGGTTAATCAACAATGTAAACAAGTTTGGACATGCCAAAATTATTTTTATCAAAATATAAACTAAATTAGATTCGTTTTCAATATTAAATAATCTGGTTCTGATATCACAGTAGAAATTCATATCAGTTTATAATGATTTATAACACGACCTATAAATTGTACTGCCTAGAATCTCATGCCAATACTGAATGAATCTAGATCTTAGGGTTTCAAATATACTTTGTTATTTTACAGCAGAAATATGAATAAACCAGGTCGAGATTTCTAGCACTGCAAACGTGTCGTGTCTTTGGCTATCGCTATAAGACGAGATACTGTACCGTTGAGATCATATCTCAAAATTTTAGAAAACCTTTTGTCGATATTTGGTATTCTCAATTGCTTGTTTAAGAAGAAACAATTTTCTTCTTTTGATTAAGAGAACACGTTCTCATTGTTTAGTACAGAGACGTAATGTGGCAAGAAATTGTGTAGATATTTACAAGCAAAACTTTATGTTACGTGACCTCCTCTCATTAAATATATATATATATACATACGTGACCTCGTCTCATTAACATGAGAATGAGCCAAGACCATTCTGTTAATTTATTTTAATCATATTATGACAATTAATCTCCAATATATATATTGTAATTATAACAAATATATAATATTAGGGTCGGCCTTCCCTACGGGCGAAAAGTTATAATAAAACTATTTTATTATGTTGAACACTATTTATCTCTTTGTTTAAAAACTAATTTTTAGTTAGCATTTAGAGTTTTTGACCGAAAAATAGCACCTTATGATAGAAGATAATTCTATTGTAGTAGTTTATAATGGTGTGGTGAATTTGTGTTAGTCGTTTGATGGTATTACAATTTGTTTAAAATGAGGAAGTTTATTCTCACAGTCGCAACACTTTTTAGAGTCACATATATAGTTACCATTATGAATTCTATAATGTATGCGAGGAAATGTTTCTTAAGAGAAATGCAATGTGTGTATATTTCTTATGTATACAAATATTTTAAGTACTATTTGGAAACGTAAACAAACTGGCTAATAGAGATACTATTAAATATAAGAATTTGTTGAGTGGGGTTCGTATGAACTTTTTTAGCCTATCTTCTTAAATTAAAATCATATAAAAGGTGTATATTTACCGTTTTTTGCTTATAACTTTATGCCTTGAATATTTGCACCATTTAAGTGATTTTGATGGGAGATCTCGAAAGTTATAAAGGAAGAAATAGAGTGTTGAGATTTTTGTTTACCTGTGGTAGGCCCCTACTACACACATGATGTGATGTATTAGTTTTTATCAGTGATATCATTTGTGTGTAAATTTTCTTTTATTTTCATTTAGTTTTGAGTGATTATGTTAAACAATCAGTGTTTTCTACATCACATTTTAGTTATATAACTAAAAACGATATGTGAGCATATTCAGTATTATCGCTGGTCTGATTCAGAGTTGCGAAATTTTATAGTGTTATAAAGCTTTTAACATTTCTCTAAATTTAAACCGTGAGCATTATCATTAAATTGATCAAAATCGAACACAGTAGAAACACCTTGCTAAACCATGGATCATAACAGATATTTCTGGATCTTATGGAACGGAAAGTTGAGTTTTAATCTCTTATTCTTCCTCTTTAGCCAAAAAAGGAGCATAGATATTTTATATTATATTTTTATCAAATGATTTTCTTCACTGTTTATTTAACAATTAGATATAAGGGTATGAGAAAGAAAATATAGTTATAATTTAGATTTAAATAGATATATATTATATTATAACTAAATATTAAAATATAATTAGTATGCCAATTTAAAATTCTTCTTTATTATTTCACTAGGGTTAGGCCCACACTACGGACAGATGTGAAAATTAAAAATCACAAAATCATATTTTAAATTAATCATATTTAACAAATTTATTGGTGACTGAAAATAATTAATTTTCAATATTTGTTTTTTGGTTCTTGTTAGAGAGCATATGCTTGTACTTTTTTAATTAATTTCATTTTTTGTTATTTTTTTATTATAAAAATAAGGAAAATATTCATAAACTATTTAAATCCAATACATAAATCATTTATTTTCTCTATTTTATACATTTATTTTTTGTTTTTTAGTTATTTAATTTTTTGGTTCTATAGATAATTAAATTTTTTTTCTCTATTAGTTGACCCGTGATTTGCATGAATTTATTTTCTATTAGATATTTTGTTTAACACTTGTTTTTATTTTGAAATATTTATTATCATTATATATGAATTATTTTACTTAATTACTATTTGTATCGGTTTCTATTAAAATTGTTTAATGCTTTGATATTCAGTCTTACTCTCGTTGCAAAAAACGTAATTTCATAATCAAATTGTTCATATACTTTACTGAGACTAAGACTATTTTTATTTTGGAACTACAGATTTTTTGGTGTATTTGTATTATTTTAAATTATATAGTTTGATTTCTAGGATTATTTTTATCTTAATTTATATAACGTCTCTTTTTGTGTGTTTACAAAATAGTCTGTTTTTTTTTTTGAATGAATGTTAAATTTTTATTCATCAAAAAAGCCTGTTTACATCAAATGCATAATTTGTAGACAAACTAACTCTTAACTCTTAACATCATAATCTTGTGCTAAACTAAAATTGTAAAACTTCCTCCATCCCTCTACTCTTCTTTGCAGTAACAATACTCAGCTTATTCCTGACTCCTTTCTCTACCATCTTTTTCAAACCCTCCAACGACAACTGCTTATCATCGTGCCTTATTCTATTCCTTTCTCACCAAAGAGTATAAACAGAAACCTGGAAAGCATATTTAACACAGAAAAGTTCTTTCTTCTCCATGGTAGAGTCAGCAATCAAACACACAATACCCCTCCATTCACTTGTGTAATCGTTACAGAGGATACCCTTCACCAAATGATACCAAACTTGAGACGAAAAGCCACACTCAAAGAATAGGTGATCTCTGGTTTAAGCCAAACAATAAATGAGTATTTGGGTGTTGCTTGGGAGAACCACACACCTTTTGCCCAATCATAATGCACCACCGTTTCTCTCACCAGCTTCCAAGTTTCATGAGTTGAGAAATTTTTCTTAAATCCCGATTCCCATCTCCACATACTGATATCCTCCATAGTACTACAATACTTATCCTTAAGATCATTTAGCTCAGCATCAATATCATTTAATACTGCAGAACGATACTTTACTCTTCGCCTTCTACCCCACATAGCTTTCTCCACAGTGGCTGTCCTACTAATACCCAGCTCAATAACACCTCTATCTCCCAACAGCTCCATAATCACCCCTTTATTAGACCAATTGTCATACCAAAAGGAAGTATGACGCCCATTATCCACAGCTTTCTTATAGAACCTCTTAGCAACTTCTCTTAACTTCAACATTTTCCTTCACATCCAAGAGCCTACTTGAGTATTACTTTTTATTTCCCAAAACGTTTTCTTCTTTAGGAGATAAACCTTGATCCACTTACCCCAAAGATTTTAGGGAATTCATAACATATATGATTTCTCTTTTATAACATTTCTTTAGATATACAATAATCTTTGATCTCTTGTTATTATAAGAGTTTTTTTTATTATTATTTGTTCATTATTGTTTTATCTGTTATATACTACTTTATGTTTTTCACTAATTTAAAATTGAAGTTTTCATTTGAATTATGTATTGTTTTTTGCAATAGATTTTCATTAATTTCTTGTTAACAATTAGATATCAAGTTTTATTTCAATGTGTTTGCTAGCTGCTAATTTCCCCAAATTAAGAGTTAGTAATGAACACACAATGCCTAATACTTATAAGTATAACTTAAAATTTCGGTAATATCATATTTGTACTTCAGATCAGGTTAGGAATGAAAAGTTCAGTAGATATGAGCCTAATAAATGTTGTTTTCTTAACTAAACATGTTCCATTATTGAACCAAATGGAGAAAGGGGCATCCTACATCCGGAAATTAGGATCGCTGCGCGTTACGTCGAACTCACTCAACTTGTAGACTGGCCCTTCGCTGAGATGCTGCCTGAACATGAATTGACAGTTCGCATTAACAGAATCTTGAATAACCGTCGACTATTAGAAAAGAAAAAATAATTTTTCTTAGACAATCTTAATGGAACCAATCATCTACAACGTTACTCGGAAAGAAGATGCTTACATTCTCGTCGATGAGGAGCATGTCTAGACTCATGAGCTCACCATCTTTCCTCACATTTCTGACCTCCCAAAACCTCAGCAAGTGAACCTCGGGGGGTGTTGGAGCAGCGCCCGACTTTCAACGGCAAGGAGGATGGAATAAATCACCATTGTAGCAATCGGAAAGTTGAACAAACTTTTCTTCTAATGCTCGACGAAGCTGTGCCGTTCATGTCTGCAAAAGGGATATATATACTCACATCTCTACATGGTTATTTTCGAGATGATATAAGGTGGTTTCAATGATCCAGAATGGGTCAATCACTTATAAAATAGTAAGAAAGAAGGTGTGTATCAAGGGTTCGTCGAGACGTAACGGAGAGTTGATAATTTATTTCGATATCTAAAACCCTCGTCGGCTGATCTAGGGATATCAAATGAAGATGACGAACAAACCTATAATATTAAAGGATCTCATAATCCAAAAGTTCAAACGCAATCTACAACAGTAAAAACCCAAAACAAATATGCATTTTACCAATAATATAATTTTTTCTAAGAATATATATTTTTTTAAAGCCCAACAAATGATTTCTTAAACTTTAATGAGGTGACACATGGTATTTTTTGCCTCCATGAAGAAAAAAGCTTACTTTATTATATAAGATTGTGTTACCCAACAAATTTGAGATGATTAAACTCCCTTTTTTAACATTTTCAGTATTGGAATTAATGGAGGGTAAGCCATGTAAAATTTAATTTAATTAAACTTTGTTTATGCTTTATATACTTATTTATTTATATTTATTTTTTCATATAAACCATTGTTAAAATTTACTACTCATTTATAGCTTATTTATGTTTTTTATAATCATTGAGTTCCAATTTCTATGGCATTTGTCTTTAAAGGTAGTATAAAATGTAGAAAGCAGTTCTTTACATCTTCTGTATCAAACGAGAATATATTCTTTTGGCAAACAAAATTTACAGTAAAATTTTGGTTTGATAGAGTACCAAAGTTATTTTATCATGCTAACTAAAGAAATCAATTCTTATAGCTAAATTGTTGAGTGGGAAAGGTTAAGATTGTTTGACCAAGTTGCAAAAAAAAAGTAAGTACAATGAAATTGGTAAACATGGTCTTTGATTGAAAATGTTTGTTTAAACGGATTATCTTTCAAGTAACCCAAACTATTTTATAATAAAAATAAATTGAGTAAAATGTACCAAATAGATAAACATAATGTTGGTTTTCAAACAAATTTATAAGAACACATTACAAATCAAAGAACAAATATTTTATAAGAAAACCATAACTCAAAGTTCTCTAAATCATATAACCTGAGCCATCAATCTGTAAATTGAGAAATAGTACCTGAGCTCAAAAATTCATCTCTTCTATTTTCTTTCTTTCTTCTTATCCATAAATAAATAAAGCTTTTTCTCTGGATAAAAAGATTCCTCTCTGTTACTTACACTCCTATTAGTCTTTCAATTGGTTGACCTTCCACAAATTTACTTATTCCAATTTCTTTTGTAGATAAGAAGATTCCTCACTGCTACTTACACCTCCTCTATTTGCCTCTCAATTTGTTGACCTTCCACAAGTTTATTTATTCCATATTTTTCGCTCAAAGAAATAAGAAACAATGTTATATTAGTCTGTAAATATGCAGATGCATGTACCTGTTATACACCACCATCAATGAAGATTAATATAAACATGCAAAACTTAAAAAACTACAAAGATGTTAGTACAAAAGCATTTTACTTGCTTGTTTTCTTCTATTAATAAACACAAAATCACATAACGTCTGGTATGAAAATTGTTTTATTTCACCACTCATGAAATAACTGAACTAATTCATATTCAACCCAATAAAATCATGAAAAGGCATGAATCGAGAGGATTTCCATAACAGCGACGGTATACACATATCAACTGTAAATCATCCCTTGTTTAGGTTTAGTCTAGAAAGGCTGCTACAAACCTTAAAATAAGCTGAAACATAGATGCTTATTCAAAACAAAACCACATAAACTGACTAAGTTCAAACATAGAAGAAAGTTCAAACATAGAAGAACTGTAAACAGAGGAAAAAGTATCTTCCATATTTGCTGAAGAGGTGTTCAAGATCGCGTACCCTTGTTCGAGAGGAGAGGCTGCCAACATAGAGACGTGCACCGCCGTATCAATCATTTCTGATGTATCGATAATTGTAGCGAGGCATCTTCATGTCTACAGACACAAAGAGATGATTTTATCTCTCTCATTAATTATGTATCACAGTATCAAACCTATCACACACACACACGAACAATAAATAACCAAACAAAAAAAAATTACAATGGCAATCGAAATTAAGAATGAAATGTATCACTTTTTGACATATACAAAGCTGAAACCAGATGAAAAGAACTTCTTTCGATTCAATTCGTATCGGAATCAATGACCAATAGGTAAGCCATGTGTAAAAACAGCAGAACGATCTATGAGAGTTACAAAAGTAAAAGAAAATTAAGGAGAAGATGACTTGCACATATTTATACAGATCGCGAGAACAAAGCATTGATGTCAAGTTAATGGAGGAGCGAATGAAGAATGAAGAATTTCACAAAGCCTTAAGCAGGCGGTTAGAGAATTTCAGAGGAATGGCAAGAGTCGCCTGAGACGAGAGAAAGGAGTCTACTATTCTACGCGGTTGGGGAGACACAACTTAGTTGGACGGATTCAATTAAAGCCCAATATAAAATAAAACACAGAGATAGACATAACCAATGCGAGCTCGACATGTGTCCTTACCATATACTTCGACTTATCTATGTGGCGGACGACATGGACAACCTAAGAAGAAAGAAAACACTACTTTATATAAATAGATAGATAGATTTAAACATGAATTTCAATTTGTTTAGTTGTATAACCTTGTAAAATCATATAATATAGCAATGAATCAATTTATAGATTATATAAGTGATTTTTAGCAAAACATTATAACCATCAAATATGATACGATTGTCTTATTATCGAACCTCGAATTTATAATTTTAACAAGAGTACATGCAAATCATTTAGGAAATTCCCAATAATTTGTTGTAAAAAATGTGTTAGGTTAAAAGTAATATCGAAAAAGATTTAAGGAGAAGGTGGAAAATACTGTGTGAAGTACTAATTTTGAATGATTTTGAGCACAAATACAAGTTTCTTAAAAGTGCTGTAAGGTGAGTGGAGGTGTATGTCAAAAGAAAAAGGTGAGTGGAGGAGGTGAATCCGTGAATTTACAGAAGAGTGAAGTGCGTGAGGAAGATGGGAAGGCGTTAAAGGTTAATCGAAGGGCTATGCATAGAGAATAATGGGCTGAGTATTAGTTTTTAGGCCCATATGATCTGCCACTCACATCACTAATTAGAACTCTCTCTCTCTCTACACTCACACCCAACACGACGAGTTGACTCAGACCACAACACTCGGAGATCGCTGCTTCATCAAATCAATGGGAGGAAAAGAAGATCCGACGGCGAATGGGAGCCCGAAATCGGAATCAATGGCGGGGAAGAAGGCGAGCCCCCCAGATCTGCTCAGCAGCATCTCGTTGAAATCACTGAAACTGAAGACGAAGCAGCAGGAGCTACTTCTCCGCGTCTCGATCCTCGGCCTAGTCTACGTATTGGCCTTCATCGCTCGCCTCTTCAGTGTGCTCCGCTACGAATCCATGATCCACGAGTTCGATCCGTATTTCAACTACCGAACGACGCTTTTCCTGACGGAGAAAGGCTTCTACGAGTTCTGGAACTGGTTCGATTCCGAATCTTGGTACCCTCTCGGTAGAATCATCGGCGGCACGCTTTATCCAGGTCTTATGGTCACCGCCGCTCTGATCTACTGGACGTTAAGGTTTCTCCGCTTCTTCGTTCACATCCGCGAGGTTTGTGTTCTAACGGCCCCGTTTTTCGCCTCCAACACCACCCTCGTTGCGTATTTCTTCGGTAAGGAGATCTGGGATACAGGAGCTGGCCTCGTCGCTGCTGCTCTCATCGCCATTTGCCCTGGCTACATTTCTCGCTCCGTCGCTGGATCCTATGATAACGAGGCTGTGGCCATTTTCGCTCTTTTGTTGACCTTTTACCTCTTTGTTAAGGCTGTCAAGACTGGATCTTTGTCCTGGGCTCTTGCCTCTGCCTTTGGTTACTTTTACATGGTTTCTGCTTGGGGAGGCTATGTCTTTATTATTAACTTGATTCCTCTTTACGTCCTTGTGCTGTTGATCACTGCAAGGTACTCGTTGAGGCTGTACGTTGCTTATAACTGTATGTATATCTTGGGGATGCTGCTTGCCATGCAGATTCGATTCGTTGGATTTCAACATGTTCAATCTGGAGAGCATATGGGTGCCATGGGTGTCTTCCTGTTGATGCAGGTTTTGCTTCTCTTTTTTTTTATTGGTCTTGTGTTGATTGTGAAAGGTGGATGGAACCATTACCCTGAATTTTCTCTACAAGACCAATGTTTCACACACTCTACTTGTGTAGGTCTTTTACTTCCTTGACTGGGTGAAGCACCAGCTCAATGACACCAAGTTGTTCCAAACGTTTCTGAGGATAACTGTGACATCGGCTATTCTGGTTGGTGGTATAGCGTTGGGTGTTGGAACAGCGTCTGGCTATATATCTCCATGGACTGGTCGATTTTACTCATTGCTTGACCCTACTTACGCAAAGGATCACATTCCCATCATTGCGTCTGTCTCTGAGCATCAGCCTACGGCCTGGTCGTCTTTCATGTTTGACTACCATATTCTGCTCTTCCTTTTCCCTGCCGGACTTTACTTCTGTTTCAAGCGTTTGTCAGATGCTACGATATTTATTGTCATGTATGGACTCACCAGCTTGTACTTTGCTGGTGTCATGGTTCGCCTTATTCTCGTCGCCACTCCAGCGGTTTGCCTTATCAGTGCCATAGCTGTCTCTGCCACTGTCAAGAATTTAACTTCTCTGTTAAGGACGAAACAGAAGGTTCCCCAGACTGGTTCCACCAAAGGAGCCGGTAGTTCAAAATCCTCTTCAAAGGTGAATCTTTAGTGTCCCTGTTTCCACCAATTTCTACTCTAGTACGTTTCTCTGATGAGAGTAGAAGTTAATACTTATCTCATATGTCCTATCAGGTTACACTTGATCAGTCTCAACCTTTCCAGAAGAACGGCGCCATTGCTCTTCTTGTTGGTGTATTTTATTT